CATCGAAATATGGACAAAGCACGCCGAAACGAAAGTTAAGTGCGTGCTTACACTATAGTCTTAATCAATTTCCCGATAGTGTAACTGCGCCACAAGACGTTTTCTTTTCCTTACATTGCAATACATTGAGATTACGTAAATATATCGTGTACAAGGAAAACAAGTAATATGAATGCTTTGTCTATGTAAAAGGATTACTACATAACTCGAATAAATAAATTTATAGCAAATCATAAAACTGCTTTACTATCGGATCGGTGTACTGAAGGAAAAAAGAGAAAAACGTGTAAAGACGCTGATTGGAAGATTCTTTTAAATCTTTTATGTATTTAAATGAAAGTCGAAGTACTTCGAAATACCTATTAAGTTTTAATAATGAACCAGACAATAATAATCACAAATAACTACTTTATTACTCATAAAATACAGGGTGTTAGGTAAATGGGTATATGAGCCGACACTAGCCCATGTTAACATGGTCACATAAATGGTTGGTGAAGTCAAAAAATTGATATTTTCATTTTAATTATTTTATTTTTCATAGAAATCGGATTTTATAAAATTTATTTTTTTATGAAATTTAAAAAAATTAAAATGATGATATCAAATTTCTGACTTCACCATACCATTTATATGCCCATGTTAACATGGGCTATTGTCGGCTCATATACCCATTTACCTAACACCCTGTATAAAAATCAGGAATTTTATGCATGAAAAAATGGCTTTCCCTATTATACATACAGTACATCCCGATACATTTTATTTGATTTATACAATATTCGCGTGCAATATTTCCAGATGCTCGAAATAATAGGCAACGAGAACGTAAACCTATCAGAGAAGCAGATGGCTGAGCTGATCGAACTCCTGGACAAGGAGGAGATCCTCGAAGTAGAGAGCAAGATCCAGAAGGCGTTGGACAAGGCGGCCGTCGCAGCTAAGGAGATGGATAAAGCTTCTGTCACAGAGGGAAAGGTAACCAATACTCAATCGTTTGTTGTTTCCATTCGTCATCATCATTTCCGGTACAGGCCGTTAACTGAACATAAAAAAACGCATAAGAGTAGGCGCACACCGTTGATTTTTCATCGGCCGATAGTTTTTTTTTTATCAGTAAGGGCATGTATGGGAGTGCGCACACTGCGCCAATTCGATTTGGCCGATTCTTCATACAAATTAAAATCGGGCACAACTATCGGCCAACTAAAAATCAAAGGTGTGCGCCTACTCTAAAACTCATTTATTTTTGGAAATAGGCTTTTAATAAGCACTTTTCATATCCCAGTATTAACCCTACCACTGCTTTGGGACAATAAATGGGCCAGTGCTGAGAAGAAGCAGCGCAAGAAACTCAGTCACATTAGGCATCCCCTAATGATTTCCAAATTGGCCGATTCGTAGCGGCCTGCGACCTTTATTAAGTCATTTCTCCACTTTGCTTCCATTATGAACTTAACAACTAGAACGTTATTGTCACTTTTAATACTTAGGGCTGATTTTTCAATCGTCAGATAACTTGTAACTGAGGAATAAGCTTGTTATTTAGACATATTTCCCATACTGAAACTGTCAACGTGTCAAACTTATTCTTCAGATAAAAGTTAACCGACGATTGAAAAAGTATCTAGGTGCACCCCGCGACCTTTACTAGATAATAATGATTAAAACCAATTATTGGAGACTACTGCCCGTTTGCACCATCAATCCCTATTTTTAAGTGAACCCTATGAAAACAAAATTCCTGTTATGTGTTACCATAGTGGTCACTTAAAAATTAGGGATTGATGGTGGAAACGGGCCTACGATTCCGATCTGATTAGAGAACTTTATTTCCCCAACGGCCATCAGTTCTACGATTTATGTGCTATGTGACCCACACACGGTCGCTTATGTTTATACTACGTATAACCTTAACTAACTTAACTTTTCATAAGAATTCATGGTTGTCGAAACAAAATTTCCATAATAAATGAAATCGTTGACTCCTATTTGGTCACGAGCCAATATTTTGTTTGACGAATGTGCTAATACATCATAACTAATTTTAGACATTTGTGTAATGCCGTAAAGAAGAATAGTTAAACATTATACATACACATACCTTTTTTGGCAGCATTACAAAGACAAACCAACATGAATATTCATCGGGAATCTGTGTTTAACGTGTAGCGATATGCTATGGAAATATGTGTGATGTGATGTTTGATGATTAATATTTTTTTGGCACAGTAATAATTTACTAATAATAGTAATAGAGTTAATACTCATGTGCGTTCCAAAACTAGAGATTTTTAATAAAATTTAAAAGAAAGCGACATCATGCTAGTAATGTGTGTTCGTTTGACATTCAAAAGTATGTGTTTACTGCAAAATTCTATAATGGATCACTTGCATTATCTCATTATTTTTTTTCTTTATTTCCAGAGTTTATTCGACATAATCCGAGAAGCGCAGAAACGAAGAACACTGAAGAAAGCCGTTGGTACGAAGTTAGAGGAAGAACCGATTCCGAAAAGCGAGCCCATAGTCAAACCAGAGGAGAGCAGTAAACGGCCAGAGAGTCATTGAGCCTAGCCTAGTCGATTCTAGCCTGGCCGCCCTAGCCTGGCTAAGCCTAGCCCGGCCTAATCTAGCCCCAGTCTAGCATGGGTTTATAATACATAATATACCCTAGTCGTGGCATAGTTTGTAGTAAGACCTCTCTTCGTAGACAAAGTAACATCGTTATATTTTTGACATTTATACAGTTCGTTTCGCTCATTATCGTAGAGTATTTTTATGAGCGTATCTAGATTGTTGTTAGACTTCGTATAAGCTTGTAACTGCCATAGAAATGTTAACATTTTCAATAGCGAATGTCACTTTGTCTAAGGTACTGCTTACTCCGATTTCGATTCTAGCCCGGCTCGGCTTAGCCTCGCCTAGCCTAGCTTTACTTAGTCATGTTGTACATACGTCGTTGTGGGTGTTAGTTCGCTTTCGCTCTGGTTTGGCCTCAAATCAACGATGAAGGCGCTTCGGGGTTAAAAGGCCCGTAGGAAGGAATAAAGAAGAAAATATCTACATTATTTGGAATATTTCAATCGAAATTCAAAGAGGAGGACCCCTTGATGTCAAGTTTTATGAAACAATCTCAGTTTCAGAGTAGTACTTATTTAAAATTGATATAAATTGTGATTTAATCTGTTTATAAATTAAGACTGTCCTTTTGCTATCTCTCTATAAATGTCGGCGGGACAGCATTATTAATCGTTGATATCTTTAAATAAATTACCTAATTGGTGTTGTGTAAACTTAGTTTTTTTTATTGGCAACAATTTTTAGATCCTGACTACGGTCCGAACTCCTGTTTAGAGCCAGTAAAATCGAGTCAAACGCGACGAACATAATTTATGTAGAAGAATATTTTTACGTTTATTGATGTGTTACCCTAATGACAATAAGCATTTTTGTAAACATGTAATCAATCACACATAAATATGTAAATAAGGTTTTACATAGCATTGTATCGTATAATCTTTCCGTACCGTACAAAGTTAACTTTCTAATGTGTTGTAGCGTTTTATTTTTTCGCGTATATTTTTTTCTTTGATCTTTTCAGAGATTTCAGAGATTTATTGTATTGTTTATGCATTTCTGTGATCAATATTCAATTTAAGTTTTATTTATATTTTAGTCAGCGGAAAAATGTTGGTGCACAAATTGTTTTTGATGTCAGTATGTCCGTTGTTTGTGTTGCAATAATTTCCTTATTCCTCGGACTGAAATCCAGGTGAAACGGTTATAAGTACATTATTGTATCTGAAACCTTATTATGTATATAACTTGCTAATACAATATCCGCATAGTGTTGTTAGACAGGAGATCGTTCAGATATTTAACTCTTGGCTGTTCTGTATTCGGTAAGACTTATTACATCATTGACCTTGGGAAACAGGCATGGCTATATTTATTCCTTTTTTGGATTTTATCAACTTTGTGATAAGGATCTTCTGTTTGGCAGGAAACCAGGGATGCAAAAATTATCGTATATTAATTTATGCATAGCATTAGCATTATTATTTACATTTACTGTATTTTACCATTATTTATTCAATAGTTTCGTAGACTTCTGTTGCGTGAAATTGTAATGTGAGCTCGAATAGGCTTAAAATGAATTAACTAAAAGGATGGTGGTATAATAAGTCTAACTGTTGGATTTGAGCATCTAACGAAAAAATGTTTCAATTTGCTATTCATGTTAATGAATTTACTTTTACAATGCGGGTGTTGGTTACTCTAATCTACGTTTTATAAAAACAATGGTTAGTTTTTTGAGGAACAATAATGTTTTTTCGTTAGATGAACAGAGGTACTTGATACTTGTGAAGTTCTGATAAATAAATGAGAAAAATAAGAATTGAAAAACTGGTTTTATTGTAACATCTCCTAGGTACAGAAAAAAACATTACACAATACACAACTCACTATAGTGCGATTGCGGTCAAATACCTGGCTTGTACTGCATAAAAAAAACAATACATAGGTACTACAAACAGATAGTTTACAAGATGAAATGTTCACTCTTGGGAAATACTTTAGTATCTCTAGGTCTTTTTTATCTTGTTTTATCTAACCTAACAAAGTTTTCCAGTGATATTATTTCCAGTTTCTTTTGAGACCGTGGACCAGTTAGAAGACAAGCTGTGTAGGACTTATAATTAGTCACTAAAACTAGAAAATCTCATGTCTCGGTATATACCTAGGCCCTAAATAATAATACCTTAGATTTAAAGCCTGTGACCAAAAAGTTTGAAAACATCGCGGGTAGAGCAGGCGGGAAAGCGTTCACTTCCGTTTCCGTATCCAGTGGTTCTGATTGGCTGTAGTAAAATCCTATCCGCCAATGATAATACAATCGTAAAATTTTGACGAATCACAAACCAAAAAGAACCTAATCACGGGCTTTTGTTCCGCCATCTTTAAGAAATTCGAAAACCGAAAGTCACGCGATTGGTCTTTAGCGAGACGTCATTCTAATCGTTTGACGGAGTTGCGCAAATCAAAGTAAATTTTTGACTCTCACTCACTCATTGCGGCTGCCATGTTTTTTTTCATGTGGGGTGTGTGTGTGTATTGAAATAACATGATAAATTAACCCCATTTATACTGATACAGGTGAGACTTTTGATATTTATTGTTTGTTTACGTGCCAACGCGGAAGTACGCTGCGCGTCCTCAGTGAAAGTGCATCATGTAATGCTGTCGCCTTCTTGTGAAACTGCATCGTATTCTCTCGATGTTACGAGTATGACTCAGTGCAAAACGTAGATAAAAGATGTACGTGCCGCGCAAGATCTTTGTTGATTGATAACAAGCGAGTACAAACTGCTAACTCGCTGCAAGGCCTCTGCCCGTGTTTCTTCCGCGCTTATTTTCTTGCCATGTCTCGAGTGACGTTTTGGCGCCATCGACCCATTTAGCGCGGCGGGGCGGGCATGGCTTTTCACGAAATTCTTTGTACTCATTGATAGCAATGACCTTTGCATGAAAACAACCTACTACGTTACTACAACTTTTGCGTACATTTATCTTTTCAGAAGGGGTGCACCAAGTGCGTCATTTGTTGATAGCTAGTGACAATGCGATTGCACATAATTAACTGAATTCGAAAAAGATTGCCTTATAAAAACGAACCACTAGCAAAGAACAGGCCAAAGAATTTAAGGATGTATTAGTAAAGAGGCGTAACAAAGGATCGATTTTTACACACGGCCCACGGCAATTGATAATGGACCCTCGATTTCTGAGCATGATGATGGTGTTTGATAACGGCAGAAAGTATCCAGGGCAGAATGCGTAAGCATAAAAGAGGGAGCCAGGCGGACGCCTGCAGGCCTGCCACGTCCAAAGAACTTCGACAGACTCCACACTCCACCATCTGATACCCACACACTTCGTACAGGTAGGTAACATTTTATTCTAAAAATAACTAAAATTCCTCACATACCCCCGTCTTGTTTTCTTCAAAGGACAAGACATTGAACTTGTGTAAAAAGCCTCATAATTCCATCTGTAATCATTCTGTCATGATAAACTAAAATTGATATTATTGATAGATTTTAATATTATTGGCCTTTCGTAATCATTTTTAAGTTGTATCATAAAAGAGCACTTTGTTTATTAGGGTATGCATTAGATAAAGACAACAATTAAGAAGGATAATTTGAAATGAATTAAGTCAATGAGGAAGAGTATTAGTTAATTATTTGATATTAATATATTTTAATCGATTAGAAGGAAACTAACTATTTTGTGTGTTTTCTACTATCTCAAGAGGATAATGCAGTGCTCGGTAATGTTGGGACAAGACCATAACAGTGGGAATGTTAAAATGAAGACCGTTAACAGTTATAAGAATCCTTACAAGAAGGTCGGTCCATAGTTTTGATCTACGTAATTTCATAAGCCATATTACATATTGGATTTTGAAACAAAGGCTGAGATGCACCACCTAACTTGGACCGTAACCATAACGTTAACCGGTGTTATTTTGTATGGAGTTTGACAGATTTGTGCGTTAAAGAAAGATGGTGCAACCCAGACTTAGATTTGTGTAGAATCATTAACATTTCACATGAAATATTGCTTATGAAAAGGCTAGCTGTTACATTTTTTGTTCCTTTTGGTATGGCCGCACTAGTTTGGGAGTATTGTATTCTTTTGTTCCATTGTTTGAAGCTATGTATTAAATACATAATCATTCTTTATAATTTTGCACCTTATGCACACGCAGTTTGAGTTGCATCCATTGTCAATGTGTTATTTATTTGATTGAATAATGTATATAGAGGTATCTTTGATTTTTGTATTTCAATTTCTAGATTATGTAGTGGTCAAGATTAATGAATTGTGGTTTCCTTAATAACTAGATAGATATCCCTCTACTTTTACAGCACCATTTAGACCTAATTATTAGCTCAGCATGAATGGTTTATTTATATTTATTTGTAAATTCTTCTGGAATGTAGCTAACATTGTAAATAATTGATTAATTACTGTTGTTTTGGATAAATATACTGCAGTAAAATAATTTTATTGGCTGAAAACTACTCTAGATTACTAAACAGATGTTTGTTTTTATTTTTATGTTACATAAATACAACATTGATAGACAGTAAAGTTAGTCAAAACCTAATTATTGTTTGTTAATGATTGTAAATTAAATAGTCAATTACTGTTCTAAACATTGAGTCATGTAAAAACCAGCTCCTTGCTCTCAAATCTGTTTCTCTATCAATAAACACACAATTAATAGTTGAGTAAATGCAGCCGGCATGTTCTTCGTGCGTGCCGTTTATGACATAATCACAGATAACACTACCGCCGGCAGCACTTTATAATGTGCATCTACTTCTTTCCAGGAACCGAACCTCGACATAATCGTTGACCAGCTGTGCACCAGACTTCAGGACATCAAGGACCAAGAAGCCGCGCCACAAGTAGGCATGCCCACGTGTTCCATCGAACAAGCGGAGGCCGTACGTCGATATTACGCTGCGTTCCCGGCTCTGAAGAAAGGGCGAGAGTCGCCGCTGCAGTACTACCTGCCGCCTCCGGCCTGGTGTCGCAAGCCCGATCCGGACTTCAAGGACAAGATGCAATGCGAACTGCCGCTCGCTAAGGAAGCCAAAAACAGGAAGCTGTCTTCGGGAAAGGAACGTCGAAATTCGTACCACGGTCAAAGGAAGAGCAACAAGAAACGCTGCAACAGTTACAGCAGGTCCTTCGAAAGCAAAGAGAGTCTGCCGGAGTGGGTCACGCACGAGGGAGTCTGGGACATGGACACGCAGGACCCCGTCAAGGAGTTCATCCGGGCCATCGCGCTCGACGAGGGCTACGGCACCTGCGAGAACACCGTCACCGACGAGCTCAAGGAGATCGCCGAGGTCAAGATCCGCATGGACGACAACGTGGTGCCCGACTGGGACGACAGCCTCGACCTCGACGCCGACTGGGTCATCACCGAGGACCTCAACCACCCGAAGGTGCGCACGCCGATGGAGGAGGAGCTGTACGCGAAATTCGAAGCCAAATTCGATCGCAGCATCGAGGCGCTGTGGTCCAAGGACCAAAACACGCCCGACGACGAGTACCAGGATCTCCCGATCGACTTCCAGGACCTGCTGTCGTCGCCGTCGGACGGCCTGTTCGCGGGGCCGGCGCCGGCCTCGCCCGCGCGCGACTCGCTCGCGCTGCACGACCGCCTGCGGCCGCTCAACCTCAACGAGCCGCGCGAGCTGCAGTCCTTCGCGCTGTACGAGGGCGAGGACATCTACGACGCGCTGTCCTGCGTCGCCGGCACGCTGCGCTCGTTCTCCGCGCTCAACCACAGCCGCGAGAGCAGCGGCTTCGCCGAGGTGCCGCCGCGTCGTCGCGCGCGCCCGCCGCCGCCGCCGCCGCCGCCCGCGCCCGCGCNGCGCGCCCGCCGCCGCCGCCGCCGCCGCCCGCGCCCGCGCCCCAGCCGCCGCGCGAGGACCTGCTCACCTCCGCGCGCACGCACTTCCGGCCCATCCGCCGCGAGCCCGACGAGCGCGCGCGCTACGCCGACGGCGACACCTTCGACATCCGCGGCGAGCTGGAGCCGGTCGAGTTCACGCGCAGCGCGTCCGGCGGCGTGTACCTGGCGGCGTCGCGCGAGCGCTACCTCGAGTACCGCGGCTGCAAGACGATCGACTACGGGCGGCTGAATCTGACGCCGGCGCAGCGCTGCCCCGACTTGGAGGACCCGGGTTTTCGGCTGCGGTTTCCGCTGCGGCAGGCGGACGCGGCCGTGCAGACGGAGGCCGAGGAGGAGGAGTGCGGGCGCGCGGCTAAGAAGAAGCGGCCGGCTGACGGCGCAGAATGCGCGCCGGACGAGGCGCTCGAGTGGGAGGAGTTGTTGTCGGACATCAGCGCGGCGCACGCGCAATACGCCGGAGCGGGAGCGGGAGCGGGCGCGGACGAGGGCGGCGGCGACCGCAAGCGGCGGCACAGCGCGGCGCTGCGCTGCGGCGCGCCCTGCTCGCATCCGCACGCGCGCTTCCTGCCGTGCTGCTCGCTCGACCGCCCGCTCACGCGCTAACGCCGTAGGTAGGCCGCCGTCGACGCCGGGTCGATTCTTCTGCGCTTCTGTCGGTGACTCGCCGTGGTGTTCCGTTTGCGAGAGATGACGCGCCGTCTCGGACGAGTCGATGACGTGTATCCGATAGAACGAGCGGCCCGTTGTCGATGCCGTCTGCACTGTTTCCGCCGTTACCCAGTTCCGAGCTGAGGTGGAATTGTGTAAAGCAATCGTAACCATTTGACAATTCATAACGTACGATAAAGTCAGTTATACAAAGCGTTTGACAGAATAATCGTACGTTATGAACTGTCAAATGATTACGATTGCTTCACACAATTTCACCTCTAGTCCTGAACTAACATTCACTGGTTGAGGGCGGAAACGCTGCTGAAACTGACGCTACGGCGAGTCGTTTGCAGATTGTGAATCCGTTGGATCGATGTCCATCGTGTCGGAAGCGGGACTGACGCAGCGCGGCGACACGCGTCGCGAGGCCCGCAGCTCTCGACTATTTTGTGGCTCCGTTGGGACTTCGACTCTTGTTTAACTTTGCAAAGTTTCCGAAATGTTCCGAGATCCGCGGCGATGTCGGTTCCGTCGATAGAAATCGTTTCTTAGTATTAAAATTAAGTAAAACAGGATTTTATCGTGCATACTTAATTCTAATGTTAGTGAGTGGTGGAGGTTTGGAGAATAACATCTGTTTTTAAAACTCCCGACTGACGCGTCGTTAATTCTCAACTTTGGTTAACCAGATTCGCGTTAATTAAAACTTTGCAAAGGATGTAAACGATTTGTTTTTTTTTAAGTTGACTGTTGCCACTAGGTAGCTGAACAGAGCTGTGGGTGATAGTACTGAGACATTTAAAAGTAGTAATTTAGTTTTTCCCCCTTTAACCGCTTATATTTAAATATGGCAAAAGCCGTTCGATTTGCTTTGTTATTTACATTTTACTGTACGCAGAAATATCGATATTAAATGTCTCGGTACTGCGTTCGATTAGCACTCTGAATATTAATAGGTCTACGCGATTTATTTGATTGTCGGGTGTGAATGTGGCAGTTTGATCATAGTGGCTTATTTCGACGGTCGCCTGACACGAGTATAGTCCACAGAAAATGGGTGTTTATCGACTTGTAACGATCGATTCGTTTTCCCACTGTCTGGCCGCGCGGCCTTCAAACAACTAGCGATTATTACGCTATTACTGTGTCAAGGCGACTGAGTTTTTTTCTTTTCCTGAAATATCTAACAGCATAATACTGTATTATATATTCGCCCTGTTTCATTGATCATATTATTATTGTTATTTAAAGTTTAAAATATATTGTGGAGAGTTGAAACATGCTATAGAGTCGAAACACTTCGACGCGTTCAAGTGGCATTATATGGAAAAGTTAGCAATAATAGTAGGATTAGCAAAGCCTGACTCGCTGCGTCCTCCGAATGGCTTAGATGTGGTACAAAGGGCTAGAGAAGTGCTAACATATCTTATGATTGTAGATATTGTGGGAGGAGTATACATGTAACATTAATTTAGTTCAATTTTTTCTCTTTAGAGATTTCATATTAATGTAGAAATGTTTGATGGAATGCTTTCGCTTGCGACATTATCAACAATATTTGGTAAAGATTGAATAATGTTCGAAAGTGTTCGACGCGCGACTCGTAACGATCGACATGAAATTTTAATAGACATTTCTGTAACCAAGTTGATGTATTAATTTGAAAGTATTTTGTTTTATTAATCGGTAATTAAAAATAACGCATCTAAACGTCAGCATTCCAAGGCGAACATGGGACGATTCTAATATAATTCTTACAATAATATCGTCCAAAGTTGTTTAAATAATTTGTTAATGTAAAACGTAGATAGAGCAGGTATTTTTTATTTTTGTTAGTATTTTTTCGTTTACGTTTTCTGGCCGATGAAATTCTTCAAAATTTTCGCGGTATTTAAATTATCTGTTTTCCGTTACTACATAGTTGTGGAGGCGATATTACGCCTCGGTGTTAGCGGACAGTAGTGGACGGTTTGTTTCGTGGTTTGTCCAATATGTCTAAGATTTACACGCGGCGATTTTATTGAATAGCCGTTTTATATAACGTAGGGCGGCGCGCCCGCCCCTAGCGTAGTTCGAGGTGTCGTGCGGACAGTGGAAGCCGGGCCGAAGCCCGCAGTGACGGACGGACTATATTATATTGTGCCCTTCGATTATTATGCGCGTCGACACTGCTCATAACCGCCGAAAGATGATTTTCAGGAATCGTGATACAATTTACTTTTGATGGAACGTTTTGAAAGTGTTTATTTGACAGCCGGTGCTTATGATCAGTGACGGCGGAAATTGTAACATAATTTACAGCTCCAAATATGGATTATAACAGTTCATATAGGCGTAACTGTTATTATAGTTTATGTAAAGCATAAGAAGTGTATATGTTATATTTTCGTATATTTTCGTTTTATATGGGGCGGCTGCGCAGGGCCTCAGGGCTGCCGCGTCGCGCGTTGTCACCGGCCGCTTGCCAGCCCTGTGCAGAACCCCCCTACATACTTTATTTATTTCACTTGAAGCCTTATCTAGTTACAATTTCATATAAAATTTTAATATTCGTGCAAACTTTGCTACTAATGTGTCGTGTTTTATATATTTATTTTTCTGTAGTGTGATTTACTTCTGTTTGTAATAACTGAAAACAAGAAAAAAATTAAAAAAATGTCATTGCAAAATTTGCATCAGAAAGGCTAATTGTATATATGTATTTAGTATATCGTGAAAATAATGTATAGACATTTTCAGTTTAAAAATTTTGTTGTTACACTTTCGTTGATATCCGTTGTTACTTCTTTATCTGGAATATGTTTTCTATGTTTATACTATTAGATGAAAATAATTTGTTGTCGCCACCAATAACTACAATATTTCAGATACTGAAGCAGCTTTTCTGTTTAAATTACGTCGTAGAATGGTTGGGTATATTTTAAACTTATTCAATGTTCATTTTTGCGTGTCACGTTAATATATTTCATTTTCTGTCATAAGTTCATATTATATTGTACTTATTCTATTAACGATATTTGCTAAATGATACCTCGATAAAAAAATGAAAATCAAAAAAAAAAATGTTTAGATTCAAGATTGCATATAATATTATGTTTGATTAGTAATTAATCTAATGTAATGTGCCTATGCACTTGTTAATCTGCGTGATATCCGAAACAACTGTGGATAAAGAAATGTTTTTGTCAACGCTCGTTGATAAACAACAGGTACGTTTGCAATGGGGACGACGGGGGACACTCGCTTACTGTAACGAACGAAAACGCGCCATTGCAAACTTGGCGGTGCGACTCCAATAGAACGATTAAAATGTATTGGATTTACGAATCGACAATTGTAATATATTTTAGTGGATCTATTGCTGTCGCATACGTTGTATTATAATACATTTTAAAATAACTCTCGTCCTCTTCGGCCAGAAGATTATGTGCCTTGAGCCGACGTCAATGGGAGTTATTTTAAAACGACGTCCCCGTAATTATAGTTAACTTTAACTTTGTAAGCCACTCGATGACTAAGTGGCGAGAGCTTTCAGTAAATCGATATCTATTTCAATAATAACACAATATTCGACAGCGATGGATTCTTTGTTTGTATCTGTGAGTTGAGAGCAGAGCAACACGTTTCTCTAAGAACTTTTGGACACGTAGCTATCCAGCACACGTTTAAAATCTATTATATTACAAGAAATATTTGCATGTAGTAGTGATTGTTAAGTAAAAATCTTGTAACGCTCTCTCCTCGAGTAACAAGTTAGCTTGTAACCGATTGCTACGACGCCCTTGGTTACATGCACATTTGTTTACATTTCATATCAAATTATATAATTTTCTTTTTGTTTTTGAAATTTCGTAAATTCATTAGAAATAAAAAAAATGTATCTTATAGGCCGGGGTAGGAGCAGTCAAGGGATTTCACCTCTTCATTTTTGCCAATCGGAACATTTCCTACTAACTTTATTGTAACAGCACGGCAAAACTTTCCACAGACTATTCGATTCACTTTTTATAATTTTAATTATTGTAATTGCACACGAATGATTTTTATTTTGCATTGTCACAAACATTGTAATTAAAAACTAGAAATACATAAATATGTTAGTGATTTAATACCTACTGTTCGATAGATTGTACATTTCTATTTGAAATTCCAAGTCGTTTGATTAGATTAGAAGTGGTTATCCCTGAAAATAGTTACCATTTTCATATGTTAGGTTGTGCTCACTACTCTGGTACTTGCCACCTGTGGGAAGAAATAAAAATAAACAATCCACAATGCGCCTTTTATTTCTAATTTAATATTCCACGTTCCTACATCCTACACCCTTGCCTTTTTTGGAATGGGTTTTTAGGGTAATTCTTAGAAAAGTTCGTAGTGTCTCGAGACGGGGCGTGAATTAGAATAACAATAAAAATAGTGGGCGAAGTTGCTACTCGAGTCAAAAAGCCAAAGCCAAATCGACGGTGGCGAGTGTTCGCTCCTTGTCTGGCGCGCAGCGAGGAGCGAGAGGGCGCTATACAAAAACCACGGTTTACACTTTCATCTATTGAAATGCACGCGGTACCCGTCGCGAGCGAGACACGCGGGCCGGTAACAGTGACTGTCCGGTCTTATCGTGAAACAAAAATAATAACTCAAACGGACAGTGATACGACTGACTTGTGATATTTAGTGCTTGGGACACCATTTGTGAGTGCCGAAACGAACTGGACTGTTGGTGCTTCCAAACTGAAAAGCCGGTGTTTTACTGTTTGTTTTGAAAGGTAAGTGCATTCATATTATGTTTGTTTTAAATATAAGGGCTTAATGTAAAAGAAGTAGGATACTTTTATTAATGTTTTCTTTGCCGCCACTGTGCTTCTGAAACTGTAATTTGAAAGCTTAAAAGCTCTTATTAACTGTCGTGTTTATATCCATGCTAATAAAGGTTCTTTTCATCATACTAGTCTACCAACACTATTTCAAATATGTAAATCTACGTTACGCCTTCACATATTTTGAGTAAAGTAAAAAAATCGCCAACCAGTTTATGAATGAGACGAAGACGATACGCGCATTTAAGCTCACAGGTACAGGTAACATTAAGATAAAAATAATTATCATTATTAAACTTTCAATAACCCGTTAAATCAATAAGGAGGACAGTTCCCTGAAGAATTTTCTAGATTATCTCGTTCTCAGAATAACTAACAAGCTAAAGGAACCCCGAATCAAACATCCTCGGAACAGCAAGCGCCCACTCTAGCCTTATAAGGAAACTTTACAGCTAGGCTTGATTTCAACTTGTAATTTAGTTACAGAAGTGCAGAATGTGCAATCAAAAATGAAGGATTTGAGGGAAATACATCGTGTAGGTAATACTTTTATGTAACACTGCACAAGAACTTTTGTTTTATTATGCGGAGGCTGTATAGCAACATGTAAGTACCTACTTACTGTAAAAATATTTCATCAGTCTCCACTTCGATTGTCCTATAGTAAACTACGATGCATATTATAATTAATTACTTATGTATGATGTATTAATTTATCATCAAGTCTCATTGGGGGATTTCAGCCATAGGACGTCCACTGCTGAATACAGGCCATGTTCAGCAGTGGATGTCCTATGGCTGAAATGATGATGATGATCAAGTTTTAAAATCTATTTTATACTAAATTTCATCTAATTCGGTTCAGTGGGTAAGGTACCAGAACAGACAGAGTTACTTTCGCATTTATTACTAACATGGATAATTTTCTGGACTTAGGCCTTTAACCGCTTAAAAAAGGGGTTCTTTTATAGTCCTAGAGCTAAATACACAGAATCCAAGGCTTGTCCTAAACAAGTATAGCCGCGTTGTTCTCACAGAGGTCTAGTTTATTTATGGAGTTATTATTGCTGTAATTGGATCTGTATGTCAGTGTCTTCCACTGCAATTAACAGATCAAGTGATTCCGAAACGATTGTCGTAACCCGCGTTAGTGGTGGAGGCGAATAAAATGAGTTTTAACTAAGTCAATTATTTCCTAGCCACCTACGTTATTAGTTATATTAAGTTAAATATGATTTATTTACATAAGTAAAATACTTGAGAAGTTAAAAATCTGGATTTTCTGACCTATTAAGTGGTACCTAATCTAAAAAACTTCGTTTTGTAACGATATTGAAAATATCTAAGGAGGCAAGATTTGAAGCACAAAATAATGAGCCATCGTTTCCTATTCCCATATTTATTTTAAAAGAGTTATAAACAACTATTGTCCGAGTCGTGAAAGCTTTAAAGCTTTTGTGAAGTGAGATCAAAGAAAAGCTCAACACGTCTGAGGCGGACTTGACAACGAAAGAAATTTGCGTGAAATGTTTGTTGTCCAACACGGACAGTTACAATGGCAGTTCGTGTTTTGGGTATTATAAAACCTTTTGTAAATATAACTAAAGGATTAAAGGATTACATCACTGTAAGAAGCGGTTTTAAATGTAGACTTAAGTAAGCTCTAAGTGAAATCACGAAGCTTAAAAAGTGTAAGTAGGTACTTAATATTAATAGGGGGATACCACCAGGTACTTTTTATGAGCTTTCAGAAAGCTTTTTCATCGTACTAAGCTTAAGCTATCCATTTACGCTATTTTTTTACTTAAGTAGGCTTATTTCTTAACGTAACCGTTTGGTAAGTTATTTGATGAAATGATATTCGTTCGTTTTAGCATAATGACTTCTACTGCTGAAGAACTAGAGGCCTCCCCCAAGGATTTCCATAACAACCGGTCCTGCGCTGCCCGCATCCAGGTTCTTCGACCTTCACCATTTTTTCGTCCACCCATTACAACTACTATACTACCATTTTAATTAACTAATGTAATGAAATTCATTGTGAAGTGTCCTGTTCTAAAGGCTGCGTTTTGGTCGGTCGTGATCGTGGAGCGTTACGGTTATGGTTGGATATCCACTTGCATAATTACTTCATAGGCATGTGTCCATTTTAGGTGGCCATCATGAAGCTATCCCCTGGCCTATGACGAACGTCTTGTGAGTTGTGATCGTCCAATCACCCTGCATTATTCAACTACTTTTCGCCTTAACTTCATCAGAAGATTTAGGGCTTTTTCAGTTAACTAACGTGAAGATTACTGCTTAAGATTCCTAATTGATCAGTGACATTAATTAAAGGATAATTCAGTAAAAGGAACTGTCGACATTTTTACAGCGCTAGTCTTCTATGGATGAACTTCCGTAAAAGCTCTGGGCCTCTCCCTCTTGGCAATCTTACCTTGCTCAATAATTCGAAGCATGGAGCAGTTTTCCTAATGAATTTCTTAAATATTTAAGCTTACTGACGTAATTCGATGTAACATGTTGCGATATGGCTTTAAGACCTTGCAATAATTTTGGCGGGTTCGAAGCAGGTCACCGCCTACCGCTTACCCAAATGGAGGTTTATTGTCCACGCAGGACCCACCTGCAGGCTTGCACGCGTCTTGGAAATGTCCTAATCGTGCCCAATTATACTATTCCGACTTCGTAAGCCATTTTATTGCCTATAGATTGGGGCAATACCTAGAACAAAACCAAAGTTAACAGCAAGAATATAAAAAAATCAAGAACTTGTACAATATTACGATTCTATTCATACTCCTGTATTCACAAACCTTACTATGAGGTCTCACAGTGTGCGTGGGTGCACAGAGTGACACATGAACCAATCACAGAGCTCTATTCAAGGCTGTGCGATCATTTGCTGCTTCACTTAAGCATCGTTTGTGAATACGGGCGATGTCTCTAGATAAACATGTAGGTAAGTAAGTAGGTAGCTATTCCTAGAAACCGGATTACGGCCAAGATCAAAGCAGTAGGTTTCCGATCGAGTCTTCGCTTCATGGCTGCAGGAGCCATTCACTCGGATACAATGTTACAGCCACTCGATACTCGTAACTGAACACTGCAGCGAAAGACGATAAAAACGTGTTGGGTTTGGTATCTGATGTGTCGTAAATTCACACCTATAGGTATTCGGGACAAACAAGACTTCAATTTACCTTACTTGTATATCAGATAAAGTATTATTACAGTAGTTTTTTATTTCCAAATATTATGATAAGAGATCAATGTTTGCAAAAGCTTTGAGCTTACGATTGCTGCTGGTGGATTATTGATAGATTGATGACGGTTGTCAAATGACAAGGTCGCTCTACATTATCATACTGTCAATACAAAACTTTGGATTGGAAGAAGCTTTCTATTTGTAACTGTAATTGAAAATCTCTTGAGTTAATACGTAAGTGTGTAGCTAAAAACAATGCCGCTACATAAATTATCCTTTCATTTCCATAATATCATTTTGTTGGCACTGTTTTAGGTTATTGAAACAACTCCGTCTGTATGTTGCTGTAACGTGTCTCGGGGCAATACCAAAAAGTAAATAGTCTTAAACGACCATTTCTGCAAGGTGGCACGGAATTGGAATTGCAGACACCATTGCATTGCATTGCCATTACCGTTTAGTGCAAAACATGAGGTCTGACGTTAGATAGCGGTTTAACTGCAATTTCACACCTCGACTTGAACGCAATCTAAAAATATGTCAAGGAATTATTCTGCATCATTTCGTTTAATGGTCATGATTCGGCTTTTCAGTTTTAGCACATCAATCAAATGCAGAAAATCGATCAAGCATCTAATGTTATTTATTGGCTGAAGCTGATGTCTTGGAGATAAGTCCTACTAAGTAGGACCACTTATTAGCAGTGTTGGCACTAATCAATTAATTTTTTAATCAATTAATTAATTTGATTAATTTTAATCATGATTAAATTAATCCTGATTAAAATAATCATGATTAAAAAAGTAATCATAATCATGATTAATTTGTTAATCATTAATCAATAATCATTAATTTAATTAACTTGATTAACTTCTTAAATGTTCTATCGAAAACAATGTTAAAACATTGAATTCTAATATTAGATGTTTGATTTTAGGCTACAATTAGGTATATGACAGGTCATACCTAGATAAATATAAGGTAACCTAGACTGCCCCCCGCCCCCTTCCCTCGCTGAAACTTCCGGTGCAGTCTTCCGACCTCCCGTAGGAGGATATCAGTCCACTTCCCCTACCGTTCCAGCACTTACTTGCAACCCCGCACTCCCACCACCTGCCCCCCACCCCTAGCCTCCTCTGAAACTTCTGGTACGAAGTCACCTGCAGTTCTGCACCTCCCCAACACGCAAAACCTCCTAGCTTAGGAACCCCACCCTTCTATTGNTTAGGTACTTAATATTAATAGGGGGATACCACCAGGTACTTTTTATGAGCTTTCAGAAAGCTTTTCCTTCGTCCTAAGCTTAAGCTATCCATTTAAGCTATTTTTGTACTTAGGCTTATTTCTTAACGTAACCGTTTGGTAAGTTATTTGATTAAATGATATTCGTTCGTTTTAGCATAATGACTTCTACTGCTGAACAACTAGAGGCCTCCCCCAAGGATTTCCATAACGATCGGTCCTGCGCTGACCGCATCCAGGTTCTTCCAGCGACCTTCATCATTTCTTCGTCCACCTATACCATTATAACTACTATACTACCATTTTAATTAAATAAGGTTATGGAATTCATTGTGTCCGGTCCTGTTCTAAAGGCTGCGCTTTGGTCGTGATCGTGAAGCGTTACGGTTATGGTTGGATATCCACTTGCATAATTACTTCATAGGTGCTCATGTTAGGTGGTCATCAGGTTGAAGCTGATCCGTGGACTATCACGATCGTCTTGAAATGAAATCGTCCA